AAACATTTTACTTGTGTTGACAAGATAAAGAATTGATCAAATTTTCATTCAGGTCTAGCGGTTTCGGAGATCTAATGAAAAAAGTATAAAAAATGCCATTTGGCGGTCAAAAATGATCATTAGACATATGCACATCAAATTATCAGATATTTTATAGTGATTTAATAATAAGTATAATTTTTTTTTTACATTTCTATGGGTTCCGTACCAATGTTTATCCGTTAGACGGCGGCGCGGCACTTACGCGCTTTGACATTTCGTCTCTATGCAGTTCAAGCAGTACGATTGCTTTAAAAAAAAGTTCAGAATTTCCAAAATATGTCAAAATGAAGAAAACATTTATTTTTCGAAAAAGTTTTTTGTTTTAATAATATAATAATTTTTGGTATGAGAAGTTCCAGCAATTTGCCTTAAGGTACGATGCCATGCGCCCCGCTAGTTGAAAGTTTTCTATTATAATATTTCTAAATCGTAATAAACGCAATTAGAAAAGGGACTATTAACAGCTGGAATTTATTTCTTTAGGGAAAGAACCCGTTTTCAGAAAGCTCGCGCGCATTGTTTACCAATCGCACTGTTTCAAAATAATCTTATCGCGATATGTTTGGCTATGTTGCATATTCGACATTCTTCGTTTAATTAATGAACTACGATCTTTTTTCGAGGTGACGAATTAAAATAAATATAACTAAACTGCTGAGACTATATTTATATATATAGTTTTCATTACATTCAGCATTTTCGACATATTTGTCTTCAATAAGGAAATGGTGAAGCCTTAAATAAATTAACCGACAAAGCATTTTCGTTGAAAGTACGCAGTGCAAAATGATGAATCTTATGTATTTTATCTCAAAAGTTCCAATCGGAATCATTCTTGTTATTGACCATCGTTTATTAATTTGTCATTGTGACATTGTCTCTTGGTGGTGACGATTTTGAATTTTGCTATCGTACTTGAGATTTTAACAAATAATTTAAGTGTGGGGTGACCAAAAAATATGTGTGTGTATGTGAGTCGATTCTTCGAATTTCCCTCAACTTCAAAAACTGCTGCACCGATTTTTAAAATTTATCATCCATTCGATGTAACTCGATAAGAACTCAACTACTCAGCAAATTACAAATTTTGCTGATTAGTTTCTGGTACAGATCGACCGAGCCTTTTCTTCTTAATTATTCCTCTAAAAAAAATTCGGCGATTTTGATTAAAATTTTTACGGTTTGACTGTTTTGCAACCGGAGGAAAATTTTTATTAAATTTTATTAAAAACGCGTTTTTAGTCTATCTTAAGAAAAAAATCACGAAAAACTAGGCATTGTCCATAGACAATAATAAATGACAATTTATCATTCTTTAATTACTTGTAGGTACGAGCTTATCTCCTTTATACAAATATTTTTTTATTACGGAATTCATTTGTTATCAAGCTATTTTGTTAAATGACGGCATGATTTATCTTTAACTTATGCAGATTTACAAGATGTTGGCATAACACTTTTGTTGGATTTGTTCAAATATAAGATAATGCATCATAATATTTGTTCATAGCTAAATTTAAATAAGAAAAGAATAAATTGTAACGACACAATGTCTATGAATTCTATTCATATTTTTTTCAGTTCCAGTCTAGAACATTTATCAATTTCTTTTTAAGGATTTATTTTATTATTAGAGGCCATGATGTACCATATTCGATTTCTAAGAAAGTAAATAGTATTTTTAAACATGCCAATGTTCTTCAAACAACAACATTTAGTTATTGCAAATTATCAATATTATTCATGCTTTATTTTTATTAATTATCTAATCTGTAAAAATTGTTTTATAAAAAAAATGATGTCATAATATAATTTATTGTAAACGATATCAATGTTACACTGATTGCTATAAGCAATATTGTTATTTAAATAGTTCAATGTTCAGATAACAAATATATAAATGAAATGAATTTCATGGAACAAAACCATTTATTTGATCAGATCATTGATTGCTAAAGATAATATTATCGAGAGAGTTTGTTTATTTATAGATTAATTGATCGCATAGTAAGAAACAGTTAAAATTATATAAAAAGTATTGGTGGTTGAAAAATTGAGGAAGAGGAAAAAATTCCAAATACACATGCTGAATTCATACCGTTATTTTGATTTAGTATTTCTGTAAAGTTCTAGATTTGTGGCATGATTTCATTTACATCAAATGCATAATTCATCAATAAATAATTATATGATTTATCACATAAATTTCTCTAACAATTTGAGACTCTACGAAAGACACGAGCATTCCATAACTTTCTTAGAAATAGAATAGGATACATCGTATAAACAGGGCCTTCCCGAAATTGTGCACTGCATATTATCAGGGAATTCACCAACCTTTGAAATTTAATCTAAATTGATAAAACTACTCATTGTCAGCACACACACATTATATATATATAGTATTATCTTCATTTCATTTCATTTAGCGTCGAGTTTCTTTGAAACTTCTGCTTCTTACTATCTTCAAATAGTATTACTGATAATTATTTAGATATGTTTTTACTGAAGTAAATTAACAATATTAACCACTTTGACATTGAAAGCATATTATATAACATTGTCATTAGAGGAATTTTGTTGCTAGTTTGTGAAAATATTCTTCATGATAGTAATAATGTCTATCATTTGAATTAAATGTGAACATCAAACAACAAATAATTACATTAATTTAAAATATTGTTTTATCACGATTAGTTGAAAATATAAATTTAAGTTTATTTATATATCGATAATAATGCATGCATACATTTCGATATATTAACGATAAGGCGATATGCAATATGTATAAATTATCTATAATGAGAAAGATGTTGAACTTTGATAGTGCGGTAAAGAGACGTACTTACGTTTGAAAAAATAAGCATTGTTTCAAGTTTTATGTACATTTATCAATTGTTTGTTTTTTTTACCGGTGAATATCTATAATATTGTATTATATAGTATTATTGTAAATTGTATGAAACTTCAAATAAAATATTTATTAGGAAAGCATATCTGTTATGCATGCGCTTGTATAGTATATTTCAAATTTTCGTTATTGAAAGCAGAAATTACCTTAAGCAAAAGCGATGTGAAATTTTATAAGCGGACGGACTGCTTATATTTTTGAAATAATTTTTAAAGGGACACCTATCCAAAGCTGCACTTTTTATATTTTGATATATTTACATGATATATTTACAAATTTTATTTCTTATCATCTCGAGTGTCTAAATATATTTGAGTAATTAATATAAATTTCATAAGGCTTATACTGAAGAAGATTCAATATATTGAAGAAACTTGAATATGACAGATGGTCATAATGTTTAAAAAGATTTTTTTCATTAATTTTTTGATGATATATTTCTATCCATTTTATATGGGTTATCTTACCATGCCCTTACTATGTATTAGCAGCAAATACGCTCGCCGAGTGTTTTGACGCACAGTGCGATGAAGCGCGGCTGCCAGGGATGGCAAGGAAAATGTATGGAAAATATTGAAACACAAAGATTTAAGTCGTAAATTAAGTAGTTCTATTAATTAAGAAATTTTATTTTGTTCGAAAGATGGCTTAGAAAGTTTAGAATTAAACTAGTTGTAAGTGGCATTTTGCCTTAGGGCAAGTTATATGAACTTTCTGGCATAAGTAAATAATCAACTTGGTCAATATTTATAAGTATTCCGAGTTGATTTATTACACATTTTTGAAAATCGAAAACGTGCCTAATACAACTCGGAGTATTTTCTAAAAGCGCGACCAAATAACTCAAATTTTAATATTTTATAATGGAACTTTTTCCGTAGGATTATAATGTTTTAATATGTTTATTAAGACCAAGTACTCTATCGCCATACCAAAAGATCATCTAAATTTTTTTCTTAACAATTAATTTTGAAGAAAAGGTCGGACCGATCTTTGTTCAAAACTTCCCAGCACGATTTCCAAATAATATATTTCGACTAGTATTTAAATTTTCAAAATCAGATCAGAATTTTTGACTAAAACGCAGTCGAAAAATGTTGCAATTTTCTGCTAATTTTAAAGGAACAGCTCAGGCAATCGTATCAAAAAACTAACCAAGGAAAGTACCTACCAAGTTTCGTCTAATGAATTGAATTTTTTTTTCAATTCAATTATTTTTTTTTTTTCAAACTTCGATGAATTTTTAAAATTAACCGACTTGTCGTAGGGCCGTAACATTTTAGTATGTTTTATAAGACCATAATATCTATCATCAAAAAAAGTTTCAAAAAATCGTCGATTTTTTTTTTGTTACAACAACAGTTACTAACAAGAAAACGGCCTGGCCGATCTTTACCGAAGACTAATCAGCACGATTCTCAATCAATATCTTTCAAACGGTTTTTGAATTTTCAAAACCGATTCAGGATTGAAGTCAGGATTTAGGATTATAGGTTAAAACGCGTACGAAAGTTTTCACACTTTTTTGCCAATTACATAGAAACGTCTCTACCGATTGTCGTGCAAAACTGAAGAACGCTGGTCTTCATCGATTTCATCGAAATACATCGAATGGCTTTTAAATTTTTAAAATCGGTTCAGCTGTGATTTTGACAAATCATCGACGAAAGGTAAGAAACATGCTGAATCGTTTATGTATACTTTATCGCTTTTGATTATTTATTGATAAAATCATTTATATAAAAATTTATCATTGGGAAGCATATTACATAGCGTTTAGAGTGAAGACATTATAAAGAAAAATTGCGTCGCTATAATGGTAAATTAGTTTTTACTAATTTACATAAATTGTTTGAAAATTGAAATTATAAATTTTTGATCACATAGGGAGCCCTGTGAGGTACATAAAGGGGTCGCTAGCCAGGTACCTGCCTGCATGCAGCAACGCACCAAAAATAAGGACAGCCTATCGGCACATCGATCTTCGGCGCGTTCGTGCGGAAGCGCTGTGCCAGCCCTAGTTCATGTACACAAGTATATAAGAGAAAAGCACGATTCGAACTCATTCAGTGCATGCTTGTCGTTCAAGTGCGGAGTCTGCGTTTTCCTATTTGTTTGTTCTAACCTTCATTTCAGTGTTCGAAGTCGTCGATATTATTGATAAGGACTAATTAATTAATACATGTTAAAATGTCGGGTAATGGTCTATTATCCGTCAGCTTAAACGATGGCGGTCGAAATCTGTCGGGCCAAAATAATGTGGTGCAACCACTACTCACAGGTAAAGGCGAATTATTTGAAAAAATGAGTGGTTCGCGTAAGCCATGTGTTTTGAAAATGTGTACTACAGCTTGTCATTCGCGTTTTGTCCGCAAGTGTGTTGTGCTCTAGCTGTCAAAATGTTAAATGTCAAATGTCAAAAGTTAATAAAATCAGATCGAAATGAGTGGAAAGTGTAAAGTAAATGTACTTCTTTCAGATTTGTACCAAATTACGATGGCTTATGCCTATTGGAAGTCGGGGAAGACCAGTGATGTAGCTGTCTTTGATTTGTTTTTCCGCACCAACCCCTTTCAAGGCGAATTTACGATATTCGCCGGTCTTGAAGAGTGCCTTAAATTTTTGGAAAATTTTCGATACTCAGATGATGACATCGAATATTTGAGGAATACTTTGCCTATTGCGATTGAACCTGAGTTTTTTTCCTATTTGCGTGATTTAACAGCTAATGATGTCACTCTGTACGCATTGGAGGAAGGATCTGTTGCATTTCCAAGGTAACTGCTAGTCAAGAAAATTACTGTAAGAACACAAATAACACGTGCTTGACAGTTTTACATTCTTACTCAATTCGTTTATTGAAATAATTTGTCTGTTGTGCACTATTACAATTATTAAAGAATTAGTATTGCAATAATACGCATGAAATATGATACTAAATCCATTAATTTGCACAATCAAAACATTTGGGAATACTTGATTTTTCATATATTCATCATAATATTTGTCAATGGAATCAAAATATATAGATATAATGTGAAATCATTACTTTTTATTATTGTATCATCAGAATTTGCTGATAAATGCTTTTATTTTATTTATTGCCCCATTACATTCAAAATATAATAGATTTAAGTAGTGATTTTATTTTCAAAGTATCTTTACTTCTTATCGAGGGACCTGTAATAATTGTACAATTGCAATTGTATATAATATGAAATCATTATTTTTTATTATTGTATCATCAAAATTTTCTGATGAATGCTTTTATTTTATTTATTGCCCCATTACATTTAAAATATGATAGATTTAAGTAGTGATTTTATTTTCAAAGTACCTTTACTTCTTATCGAGGGACCCTTAATAATTGTACAATTGCAATAGTATATAATATGAAATTATTTTTATTATTGTATCATCAAAATTCGCTGATGATTGCTTTTATTCTAATTATTGCCCCATTACATTTGAAATATAATACATACATATAGTAATTTTATTTTCAGAGTACCTTTACTTCGTATCGAAGGACCTTTAATAATTGTACAATTGCTTGAAACTACATTGTTGAATTTAGTCAACTATGCTAGGTATGTACAATAAATATTTTAAGCAGAATGTCTAAATAGCATAATACATATTTCAAAATTATTTGATTGTATGTGGTAGAAATGATAAATCTATATCCTTTAAGTTTGATGGCCACAAATGCTGCGAGGTATCGAATGGTTGCTGGAAAGAATGTTTCATTATTGGAATTTGGTCTTCGAAGAGCCCAAGGACCGGATGGTGGTCTGTCAGCCTCTAAGTATGCTTATATTGGTATGTGATACTCACATTTTATTATATATATTATATATGAATATATCTGTAGATTTACGAGTAATATTTAGTAATGAATAATAAATTTAGAGCTTCTTGCGAAGATAAAATAATTATATATTAATAAGATTGTTCATCAAATATTCTTATTATATATATATATATATATATATATATATATATAATTTATATATGTATATAAATTTTTTAGCGTGTTGCTCAGTCGCATTACATTTTGATAATCAAATTTTGCAATTCTCATTTGAACCATTTTTCATTACCTCTTTTTGTTAATTTGCTAAAAGTAGTTCAATGAATCAAATACTTTTCATATATTTCTTTGATGACATATTTTAATAAAATTAAAGTTCGTTTTAATAAGTGTGTCTTAATCAAATTAGGGATTTTTTATTTGTGAAATTAAGTGTTCTGCTACTTTCATGTTAGCAGCAGTTGTATGAGAATATAAAATGGGTCATTAAGGGAGTATTCTAGTGTAGAATTTCCAAAAAATCGTTTTTTATTTTATTTTATTCATAAATCTGGATTGAATTCAGAAATCTGGAGAGGATTTTTAAAAATTAAATTTATTTTTGGACATACTGCTGTTTCACCATGATAATCTTCTTTTGTTTTCTTCCTTTTGCGAAACTTTAAACGCGTTTTTCTCAAAACTATTCTTTTTCAATACGATGTCCACGATTTATCGAGTTCAGCTGGGCCGATTCACTAGAAATTTTTAGGGAATTTTTTTTACTATTTAAATAAAAAAAAAAAATTTCGAGAAACTCAAAAAAGTTGTGAGAAAAATGGTCCTTGTTTTTTAAACTGTCGCCATTTTATCAAAAAAAAATTAACTTAATCCTAGGATATGGTATGGCGGCATCAATCTATATTAAAAATCTTTTTTTTTTTTCTTCATATCGGATTACTAAGAGGGTTGCAATCGTGCACACGGTCGGGAGCCAATTTTGGACCTGAAATTATTAGCATTTTTTTTTTTTACTTTTTTTATACTCTTGTAACGTTGATAAATGAATTACAAAAAAAAATAATAAAAAAAAAACTATTGCCTTTTCTGCGATAATTTAAAAATGACCTAAAATTCATGCCTTTACACTTAAATATACATTTCTCCAAAGAATGACCTAAGGAAGACAATGCGATTCTAAAATTAATCTGTATTCATTGTTATTGTATTCCAGTTGTTTTCAAAATGAAGTGTCAAAATGAAGTCAAAATGATCCTTAATAGCGTTTATTTTCTTGTACGTAATATATCGTAGGCGAACTTTGTAATTTTCTTCCAAAGTATAATGAAAATAATCGATCATCTAAAAATTTGCAGGCCCATTCACCCCATTATGATATATGTAGAACATTTTCTAGTGCTACAGCTACAGCTAATGTGCGAGGCGATATAGTGTACGCGTTTAGGTGTTACTAGATGGTACCGAACATATTCATTATTAGAATCGGCTGGTACGGGTCTCGTGTGAATAATGTCGCCTCTCAAAGGCTGAACGTTTCTGATATGATAAATCGTTTTCGCTTTGAACTTTTTTCAAACTCAAGGTCTCAACTAAATTATTTTATCGAGTAATACGTAATAACGCATGGAAATTGCTCATACGCATGCGATTAGTATCACACACTTACGGATATGTTTCTTTGACTTACATTGCAATTATTTTCAAATTACTATTTCTATGTCATTATCAAAACCTGTCCGCAAAAACATTATTGTCTTTAATAATTTACAGAGGATAAGGCATTGAAATTGATATTCACTTCAGGTCTTTTATATCTAGTCTTCCAAATTTTCTGATTATTCACTTTATGTATGTACCCATGTACTGACGCATAACACATTCAAAAATCATTCGAAATTGCGAAGAAAATCGTTCTAAAAACTTAGAATAGTAAATTAACATGATATATGCACTAATTATAAATGAATTTACATATATTTTTCCACTAAATTTTTGCTTTCAAATCATTACTTGACCATTTTGGTTTCTCGCAAAAAAAAAAAAATCAGGATATTCAAATTTTCAAATATATTTTTAACTTCCCATAGTGTAAGTTATAGTAATCGTCTAAAATGGAAAATGAAAATTTTTGCCTATTTTTACGTTTCTGATGTTTCTTAACATTATGGCATACCTTACAGAATATAAATGTGTGTATGTGTGGATACAATTTTTTGTCCACAATTTCGAATCAACCGAGTTGCATGATTCAAGAAACATTCGATTCCAACTGATGAGGACACGTTCTGATTAGTTTTTGGCAAAGACAGGCCCAGCCTGTCGGAGCAAAGAGTGTAGAAAAAGAAATTAGGTTTTTGAGAGAACGAAGCATCCGATTTGAATGATTCATAAACATTTGGCTTGTGTCGATAGTGTGAAGAAACGATTAGTTTTTGGGGAAGACTAAATAAAATTATTTCAAAATTTCAATTTTCCTTTTGTTTCTAAAAAAGTTGTTTCAAGTATCGAAAATAATTAGGATTTTAATTTTGATTCCAGCTCATTTATATACTTGAAGTAATTAATTTTAACTTAGCAATTCAGTTTAAAGAGTTCTTATTGTTAGAAATATGAGATAAGGTCTTTCATTATAAATCCGTTTGATTAAGTTTTGTTTATTTACTTTTCTTTTGCTCTTACATTTTGTCTGCAAAATATGAATAATGAAAGTTGCAATATTTATAATAATCTATTTGAAAACATTTAAAATTCCTTGATTATTTCAAAATGTTACGGGAAGATTCAGCAATTTGTCTTAAGGCGATGTCATGTACATTATTATACATTTACTATGCAACTTCCATATGCATTTCAAATTTCAATTTGTTTAATAACTTTATTGATTTAATATTTGTTTATGAAAGAAGCAGAATTTCAGAAATTTGCCTTGAATGTCACAATCTTACATCTTCATGCAAAACACCAAGAATGAGTTCGATATGTCATTTATTACAATTTTTTTAAATAAAAGTGTATGATGTGCATTAACAATTGATCGACTAATGTGCATTGCTACTTGAGGCATATAATAATTCAACATATCTTCAATTCTTAATTACATATAATGATTTATGTACTCTTAATATCTAATTTTGAATAAGTACGCAGTGAATTCGTAAATTATAAAATAATTAGCAACGTAGCGCCAATTTTAAACTTCCGCAGTTTATATAGTGGATTAAAATAATTATAATTTGTTACAGCGAATAATAATGTTTGAACACATTTTTCCATTACTGATTACAATAACATTATCTGAGATAATTACAAATAATTGTTTTTTTATTTATGTATTTTAATTGATTCAAGGCATTGTTTTGCTTGTTCACTGATATTTCATTTAGAGAATTGCGCATTTGGCATTTTGCACAAAACGATCCATTATATTTAAGTTTAAGTATCATGAATATATAAATTAACTGAAATGTTTTCAAAATTACATTTTTACACTCGGAAGAAAATTTTGAATTATTACAAATTATCAGAGTTATGTTACGTTCTGAATTTTGCAATCAATTTCTCGTAAGAATTTCTTATCGTCCAAATTGCTTAATAGTTTATTTAATAACGATAAACAAGTCATGTAAAACGTTTGTATTATACAACCAATTATAATTCATCGCAGGAAATTTATTTCTCAGAATTAATTCGACTAATTGTAACGAAAAGTATTTAACATTTTTTTATTTTAATAACAAACGATACAAATAGAAAAAATCTTTATTTTTAGTTAAATTATCTATTTATTTTGTTTTCGCTTCTTTATAATTCATTATAACCTATTGTCTTGGTTTTAATAAATTTAAAATATCTATCGATTTTGTTCATGATATATCATCTAAACATTTTTTAAATCCAAATCGAAAATTCTAGATCAAATTTAGAAGGCATTAATTGTTATCTGATCTCTGGTCTTTGGCCTAGACATTTTTTTTTGACTAAAACAGAGTTCAATAATTTCATTAAAACGTTTTTGATGAGTACTTGGACTCATAGTCTTGCTTATAGATTTAAATAATTTTATCTGTCGTTTTGGCACAGCATTGTGACGCATCTTTCGTAATCCTGTTATTTTTTTTAATTATTTGCTATTTAAATGTTTATTCTTTATCTTTATTTGTTGTTGTGCATGCTTATTCTTTATGTTTATATTTATTTAGGAAGTCTTTTATCAATGAAAATAAACAATATTTCATTCTCTTGCTGTGCAATTAAATTAAAATAGTAATATTTATATGAAAAACATTTGAAGTCGTCCCATGGCGTTTGAAGATATTTTTAATTTTCAATGTAGTATAAATATAAAGTATAAAAATATTTTGCGCAAATATGAGACCATATTTTTCATTTCAATCCATGATGGAGCTTTGCTAATCCGGACGGAGGGGGCGGCGCTATCAATGCTAAATATCTACTTAAATGTGATTGAAAATAATAAATACTATTTAATGATACAATGAATAATAAATACTATTTAATAATTTTATTTGTAAATGGATAATTGTTTGATTTAAAATTGCTAACAAAACATTTATATTTGTTTTTGTAGTCTCGTATAAAAATCTGCACAATTTAATGTGGTAAAACATATCGCTTTAAGGGTTATTTTTATTCGAAATTTACTGTTTGTCTGAAGTACTTGTGCCAGGAAGTCAAAAAGTTCGTTTTTGTAATTTTTTTGCTAGTGATAGTATATTTGAAAATGGAAGTTCGAAATTATTAAAGTGAGAGGCTATTTTGAAACATCTTTGGATATTTGTAATTCGGCAATTCTTTCTTTCATATAACATAAACAACATACTCGTAGTATATTATTTTTTTAGATACTCGATGAGTTGCTATAATTTCATTATCAAGTAATAGCGATGGTTCAATTTACGCCTATATTTTTTAAAATTATGAAACAATACGGGACAAAACACCTGAAACCGGGAGGCAAAGTGGAAATCCGTAACTGTTCCGGGCAAACCTGGATGTAGGGCCACCTGGGTTTGTCATCCAGATTAATATGAAGTTTTATTTTTTCTCTACATTTGTCATATAATTACAATTTTATTATTAGCAGTTTTATTTAAATGATAAGTGCAAAATTTTGTATGATCGCGTTTGGTACATTTATAGCTTACGTTATTATTTTACAAATGTTAATGATGTCAGCATATATTTATTTATATTCTCAATGTTTATATTACGTCATTTAGTGCTGTTTACGATTTAGTTTTATATAATTAAATTATCAAGTTCCTATATATTTATCATACTTTGCGATATCGTCATTATTTTTTGTGCATTATGCTTGTCTTTGGGCGGATGTAATATTTCTGATTATTTTGATTTTTTCCTACGTTATTAAAATCAAAATTTAATTTAAATTTGAAATGAATCAATCATTGATCAAATATTAAAGTTTATTTCAGGCTTCTACTATGTTCGTATATAAGACTAAAATCTCGTTTATTTTCAATCAGCGTTATCGAAACAATGATCATGATGTAATTTCATAAGTCATGTTAACAATAACGTACTGGTCTTATCAAAAAGATAAATGAACGATGCATATAGTACTCGAGATTAACACTCGTTAGCGGATTATAAAAATTTCAAGGTTGTCATTGGATTTCCTATATCTACTCGAGAAAAAAGCTAGACTTTTATTTGTAACATTTTGTTTTCTATAGACTTTTGCAGACGAAAAGCAGACAAAAATTTAAATGACATCTTTTTGATAGAAATAATTTGAAATGGAGAATAGAAAAATTTCTACGAATGTCTTATTTGAAATCACATGCGGTTCTCATAGGAATCTTACGCGTCTGGATTCACATCAATAACTGGCTGACCTCTTCTTATTCTAATGTTGTAAATTATGACTGCGCCATCAACGAATGAAAGGGCTTTTCCATTGTCACAGTCAATGAAGGACGTAGTATTTTGCAATTAATGACAAATTTAAATTGCGATTATATGTAGCTAAAATTTGTTGATCTGCATAGAAACGTTGTATTACATACTTTATTTTGAATCTAACCGTTTTTATTTTTACTTCTATATTAACTCTATAGGTTTTATATAGATTTTAATACTAAGTACAAATATTGTCTATATTTCTATGGGTTCCGTACTAATGTTTATTCGTTGAACTGCGGCGCTTACGCGCTCCGATATTTTTTCTCTAAAACAGCTACGCAGCGCGATTGCTTTGAAAAAAATTTCAGAATTTTCAAGAAATAAAAAAAATCAAATTTATCAATAAGGTAATTTATTTTTTAAATATCAAAATTCTTAAAAATCTATTTTTTTCAGTTTTCAAAAAATGTTAAAGCATTTTTAAAAAATTTAATTTTTGCTACTGGAAGTTCCGGCTAATTGTCTTAAGGCACGATGCCGTGCATCACTAGTCAATATTCAAAAGCATATGATATTAGAATAGAATGTCCACAATATTCAAAAAAATCAGAAAGATGTTGCTGTACATTTTAGACCAATAAAGTAGGACTATCACAGCACCATATCAAATTACACTCCGCATTATATGGAGACCAAGACTTAATTGTGTTTGTATTTTATTTAGGGGTGTTGTATATGTAATTAAAGCAAACTAAACAGACGTAATGTTACTTAATAAATGATATTAATTTCTATATTAATGGAATTTTTATTCTGAAAATTATAATATATATATATATATATATATTATATATATATATATATATATATATATATATAATTATTTATTTAATATGGATAAATGAGTACAAAAGTTATTGAGCAAAACTAACGTTCCTATAGCAATTACAATGTCAGAAAAAATCAAGGCTAGGAAATTAAAAAAAATGTGCAGATTTGTATATTCGAATGTTTAACAACGTCCTCGCGATGGGGAGAAATAATGTTGATTTTAGTATTGGCGATCGTATTTAGGCTCCGCCGATGGTTTTTTCGATTCCGTTCACTGATGCACATGATCGTTTCATCTTTTTGGTTTCACGCGGGGTGTCAAAATCATGTCAAAACGTTGCGTTTTATGCGAGAGCTTCGGCGTTGTTCAGTGTTATTGATTTAAATGTCCGTACCATTTGGTGCCAACCACGATCCTCGACTATTAATACGACGTGCAGACACCGTTTACATATCGAACTCGCCAAGCTCTCGTGCAGCTATTACAGTTCACAAACTCCGAAACAGGGCTAATTGCTTTAGATAAAAAATCGACTTCGATTATTTGCATTTTCCTGTTCACTTCAAACTTCAAATTCGAATATTTCGATGAATCTCCGGTTTAAAAATAGTCGACTTGATTTTAAAATGAGTGTTGCAACTAATGATGTGCAGATCGCTAAAATTTCTGGGGAAATAAGTTTGTGCATGGATTACGGAAGGAACAATCTCAATTAAATTAATATTTGCTATATTTTCGTATTGATAGCACTTCTCGGATCCCCGACGTATACAAGAATTGTCATAATTATTAAGATAATTTGTGTACATCTAAAGACATTTATAGTCTTAATAAAGAGACATCAGAGATGATCATTTCTCGGATTCGCAGGATGCTACTTAATAACTAACGAGACTGAAATAAAATAATGACATGGACTTTTCTTTAATTTAAACTATATTAATAAAATCAGTAACCAGCCAGATTCGAGCGATGAGCTGAAGTCGAAGTTTTGATAGTCATACAAATAATACTTTCATTCCGTAAATTGAAATTTAACTACTTCCGACCTGAATTCGGGAAAATTTCGTCTCTTCAAAGCACTATCCAACTAGTAAATAATCACCATAAATAACGCAATGAATCATGAAATATTTTTATTATTTATTTATCAATTTATCAATTGGTAGATTTATTTTTATTTTGTTTAGTAGATAAAACAATTGAAAGTCGAAACGATCGATTTAACATTTTATTAGGTAGTATTGAAATTTTTTTACAACTTTATAGAAAGAAAGGTCTCGTTACTTGTAGGCCTAAATTATTGACTCACGCATTTGTGTTTACTTTGATCTGTCTCTGCGTTTATGTTTAAAGAAGCAATCAGCTGTGCATGCTGCTGCTCTTATTGTCGGGAAATGATCGCTTGCGTGTCGCTTAACCTTGTTGGAGATTGTGTACTGATATTTATTTGAAAATAGGTTAAATATTTGCCGAAATTCAATTGCATTCAATTGTATTGGGACATAAGGTTTTCTGCAACACAATCATAGTAAATGTAAATATTGGTACTTCATTTTGAGGTACATGGAAATAGACCAATTTTTAGATGACAGATATTATAGCAAGTAAATACTATTTCGTTAGCTCTTGTAAATACTATTAGTAATGCAGCTTTTTTTAAAAAAAGAAACATCTTGTTGATATGCACAATACTTGTTGTGTTACAATAGATTAAATTTTTATTGATAATTTAAAATAACAGTATTTTTCAAATATAGGCGGTTTTGATGGGACGAGCAATGTTCTAGCCGGTAAATTGTTCAACATACCGGTGAAGGGAACCCATGCCCACTCGTACATAACTTCGTTCACATCGGTGGAGGAATTACGCAGCACTCTGCTGCAGTGCAAAAAGACGTCCCACGCGAAGGACCTGCGCCAACTGAGCATTGACTGGCGCCAGAAGTTGTCCACCCTGCTCGACATCGGACCGGAGGAGGCGAGCGACGGCGAATTGGCCGCGCTGATCTCTTTCGCAATTGCATTCCCGGATGGATTCATGGCTTTAGTCGACACGTACGATGTGAAGAGGTATCCTAGTCGCATGACAAACCACAACAGCACAACGGCCACATCCGAAAACAGTAACGTTTATACAAATAATAACAGTTTAAGTAAAAATCATAACTACAATAATACAAATACGACGAAACAAAGCAATACTATTGAGACTACGACGAATAGCAGAGATGTGGCCGAACGTAATTACAGATGCCAGTGCCAGCAAATTATATACTCGTACAATACAGAATTGGTGGAAAAGACTTTGAGGTAAACAAGTCAGAATATTCTTAATTCCTACACTTTACATTCAAAATAAAATTGTTTGCTTTATTTTTCAAATTGGATTAGTACTAACGAAACATTTTGCGTTTTGGATTTGAAACAAAGTGCAAGTTGTTGCCGCTGCCCAAAAACAAAGTGAATGTTGAATAGAATTTGGTCTCTGTTGAAAGAAATTTCAACATGATTTCTTTGAAGTTACGTTTAGTGAAATTATTTAATGCTCTATAAGTTTCTGCAATATACTTTTTTTTTTCGTATCGATTCAATAGTGCCTAATTGAATATTGTTGAACGACGCATTAATTTAAGATATGAATAACTTTGGATTTAAAATATAATTTGTATTAATTAATATTATTTTTCTTTTTATGAATTTTAATTTCGTTTAGCATAGATTAGTCAACATTCAGTCAAGATATATTTTTTTGATTTACACTTCTCAAAAGATCGACCAATATCGAGAAAAAATCAACTTTTTGAATGGCACTAATGTATTGCCCCTCGCCTTTGTTTTTCTATTTTTTCCTTCTTTGTTCTAATCAAGTTTCACATATGCTATAATATATGTTTTTTCGGGATGATAATCCAACAAGAATTATTAATTGGCATGAATAATCATACTGCATTGTGATCTATTGCTCGAGATTTTTAACAATTTTAATGTGAATTTTGAGTTTTTATAATTATTTTCGTTAATTTCTCAATTATTATTGTTGATTGAAGCTATAGAATAAAATAACATATAATATTACTATATTATTTTTTCCCTAATTTATGTATGCATTCAGGTCTAAAAATCTATCCTGATGCATTCTGAGTAATAAAATTCCATGTTTTTAGTTGATTTAATAAATTGATCGATTAATTAATTTTGATCAACATTATGTCTGTTTTGCTTGTATTATTTATCTTACCTGTATACTTCATATGGTTCAAAAATCATTGTGCGATAGTAATCTTTATGAAAAAAGATTATTAGTAATTTTTATAGAAGAAATTCATTGTCAAGGTCTTGCAGCGACATGCAATTCTATTGAGAACGTGCTCATAATGAATAGTTGTCTTGGCTTTGCATTATTATTTTTTTGACATCGTTCACCTCAAACTAATTTCCACCAACTCATGTTGCAAGGTATGTTGTTAATGTTGGTAAAGTCGTCGAAATTATATGTTTAGTATTTTAACTCATATCTGCTACATACTTTTACATGTACATATAAAAATATATATTTGTTGGACACATCTGAGCCCCCTAGTTGAGGCAAGCACTGCTCTTCACAAAAGCACGCTATATTTCTAGAGTTTTAATACTTGCATGAGATGCATTATGTACGTTAGATCAGTTTCCTGCTAAGATAGATCATGGTGCAATGATATTGTACCATATCTTGCAGGAGGTAATATCTTTATACAAAATTATATATTTCTCATTATTAATTACATGTTTCTTTTTCATAATTGTTTGGTATTTAATTAGTATTGGATTTGTCATATATTAAAGAAGTTTATCAATATTTCAAGTATTAAACTATAGATTCATTAAATATAATGATTTATTATTGAATTATGTTATATGAAAAACAAACGTATTATACTTCTCAATGTATTTCAAATTCCAGCATGCTGTTTTATAGTTACTTTTTACAATTTTGGTTAGACATACAGTCTTTATTTTAGTAGAATGAAATATGTATCACAATGGTGTGACTTATTTTTATTTGCCAATATTTTGTTGCTTTATTTATCTTATCTTCATCTTTGTCAACCCATATTGTTCAAAATATTCTTGGCTTCAATATTACAACATTTTGTTAACTTTCTTATGTCAGTTGGCATGTTTGTATCTACATTCAATGGCATTATATACGTAAGCTAATATTATTAAATTAAAAGCATTCTGTATTACTAAATTTAACTGTAGTTAAGCGTGTTAGGTGGAATATTTATTCCTCAATATTATAGACTAACTTATTTTGTGCATTTTTTTTTCGTGGTAGCTGCAATTGGGTACTTCTGCAACCCACATGAAATTCCACATGTTATAAGTTTTTATTTGATCACACTATAAAATAATATAAAAATGTACTTTTTAAAGAATGTAGTTAGAATTCATATTTTATATTACTTTTATTTTTTTTAACTAAATATTTTTGTATTATAATATATATATATATTATAATTGTGAAGCACAAATTGACTGGTTTTTTGAAAGAAGTTTTATGAGACAGCTGTTTTTGTGTTCAAAAAGCAGTAAAATATAGAAAAAAAAAACTTATTACTAGTGCACATTAACAAAAATAAGCAGAACAACTATTAAAAATATGTTTTCCATGTCAAACCTTTTCTAAAAACCATTCAATGCATAGAAATGTAATTTTTAAAATCAATAGTATGATTTTTTAAAATATTTGGTTTTATACCAGGAGTGGACTACTGAACTTCTGCAGTGTTGCTATGGCTCTCAATGATCTAGGGTACAAAGCTGTTGGTATACGAATAGACTCTGGTGATTTAGCATATCTCTCAGTTCTGGCCAGAGAAACATTTGAGAGGATAGCAGAGAAATACAACATTCCTTGGTTTGCAAGACTCATGATAATTGCATCAAATGATATCAATGAAGACACAATACTCAGTCTCAATGAACAGGGACACAAAATAGATTGTTTTGGAATTGGGACGCATTTAGGTAAGTTTAATTAGCGAGAATATAAAAAGTGGTTAAATATAATTAAATTATTGACATTTAGGCTAAATAATATTCTGAAAATACTTTTTATCAAGTATTCTGAAACTTTTACATGTGCAAAGTGATTTTTTTTCCTTAGTAGCACTTCCAATATCAACATTTAATAAAATTAGTAGATTTTTTTTAGTAAAATATCTAAATCATTATTTATAACATCTCATTATAATATTCAATAGTCATTTTATAATTTATTTTTGCAATAAAAAATAATTTAAATATTTGGCAGTTACATGTCAAAGGCAACCAGCACTTGGTTGTGTCTACAAAATGGTAGAAATAAATGGACAACCTCGAATTAAACTCAGCCAGGATGTTGCTAAAGTTACAATGCCAGGTCGTAAGAATGCCTATCGTTTATATGGGGCAGATGGACATGCCCTTATTGACTTGCTTCAAAGAACTCACGAACCCGCACCAATGATTGGACAAAAGGTATTATGCAGACACGCATTCCAGGAATCAAAAAGAGCTTATGTAATTCCTTCTAGAGTTGAAGCCCTTTATAAGGTAAGAGATAATAGGAAAAGTTTTTGTATTTTGCTGTACAAAAAGTTTAATCATGTAGTTTGCTAATCTCTGTAAGTCTGTTTCACATTATTTAAATCAGAAAATTTGATTTACAAGCGCTTTGAATTAATGAATAATCAACATGTTCACACATTATTTGAACCTCATTTATTTTCAAGTTGTACTGGAAAGATGGTCATATATGTCAACCTTTACCAACACTTATAGAAGTTAAAAATAGAGTGCAGGCCTCACTTAAAACCTTGAGGCAGGATCTTAAAAGGAATCTCAATCCAACTCCATATAAGGTAATTATGATAATCAAAAAGTACAAGTTTCAAACCTTATATAATAAGACGTCATGATGTTAACTGTTGGTCACATTTTCAGGTGGCAGTAAGTGATGAGTTATATAGTTACATTCATAATTTGTGGCTTCAGAATGCACCGATTGGGGAATTATCATGATAATCAAATTGGAAGAAATCATTTAACATATTATTGAAATGTTATGTACTTAAAAATGTGCCTCATATGGAAATAATAGTCATGCAGTTGAAAGTCATATCACTTACGCATGCATATACATGGTAGTATATGTATTATGAATGAAGGTGTATATATATATATATATATATATATATATATACATATATAATACTTTCTGCACATGAAATAACAAAATTTAATCATGATACATTTATATTTATAAGGCTTATTTTAAAGATATTATATATATATATATATATATATATATATATATATATATATATATATATATGATGGTAGAGTTTTGGATTTGTAAATATTTTGTAGAGCTTCGAACAAAGAATCCAAAAAGTAATAAAAAACAAAAGTTTTTGAAAAAAAAACATTTCTTTATTTATAAACTGTCGACGTTTCGGAACTAGGTACGTTCCATCTTCAGGACATCTGTCAAGAAAAATGATTTTGATAAGATTTAAACAAACAAAAAAGAAAGTTTTTTTAAAAACTTTTTAATTTTCTAACATTTCTTATCAAGATCATGTTTCGTGACAGATGTCCTGAAGATGGAACATACCTAGTCCCGAAACGTCGACAGTAATTAAATAAATGTTTTTTTAAAAAACTTTGTTTTTTATTACTTTTTGAATTCTTTGTTCGAAGTTCTACAAAATATATATATATATATATATATATATATATATACATTTTATGTGTAGTTTTTGTTTCATTTATTACATGCATAAATTTAGTTTCAGTTTTCAGTCACTGTTGCAAAGCAGTTGCATTTAGCTGTTATATCTTTGTTTTATCGTTGAACAACATATTTCTGTTTAGTAATTTATTTCTATATTTTTAATATGTACTTTTATTGTTAAAATGAAATTAAAGCATAAGCAAATTTTAAGAGGATATTTCTACTTATAATGGTATGTAAAGATAGTGCAGATGTTATGTATTTCTCAATTTCTAAACTGATAAATAATGCTATTTATTTATTTATTTTGCTGTAAATATATATGGTGTCAGTTGCCAAACATAATTTAATGATCTACTGTATATTCTTTTGATTAGCTATACAAAACTCTCTCCTTTCTTTAACCTGAATATTTTTATTAATTTCTTTTGAGAGGTTTGATTTCTATCTATTTCTATATTTTTAAATTTGATTTCTATATTTTTAAATTGCTATCTAAATAAACTTCATTGCATTTGTAAAATTTCTTGCACTGATTTTTTAATGATAAATATGTATCTTTTATTTCTTAGCAATTCAATTGCTTCTTGACAACAATATTTTTCATATGAATTCTGTTAAGGGGCTGTTGCAACTTATGCAAACATTAAATTAATGTACTCATACTCAATATGAACTCATGTGCACATCAATATTTTTTCTTTGTTGTATCAATATTGTTTTATATAAAAATTTAAGCCAACATGCTATGGCATTATTTTCCTAATAACATTGAATTGAATACTTCAAGCTCGATTACTTTTCATAGTTTAGGTATAAAACAATAGATGCGAAAATTTTACTCCCCGATTTCCAGGTAGAAAGTAAAGTACATTTACTTTTGCTTGCATTTGTCATTTACATCTGTAGCGTGTATTTTCTTAAATTAGATAGATATTCTTAATTTTTTATTCGTACATACTCATTTCAAAAAGTGGCTTAATGTGTAGGCGTGTGCCTTAATATGACCTTGTGTGTATTTTGAGAGAACAGTAATAACTTATTACAAATGTTCACTTTGTTATTTCAATTTAAATTAATTCTATATCTAATGTGTGTACTATATGTACAATGTATTATTAAAAAGTAGAGTAATTGAAAAATTGATGAATGGATTAAGGTATTAGAAGCTGCATATGAATAAACTCGTTACCAGTTTAATTAAATTGAAATATCTGTGTGCTTGTACATATAATGAATATTTATACTCCAAGACATAAATACTCCTATTATAATTTTGAAATAAATTGTAGTAAAATAATGATATATGTTGTTTTTAATATATATCTTTAATGTCTTACTAACTTAATTACTTGAATTTCTAAAAAGTAGATTTACAGTTTGTTTCGGTTTTTGATCTTATATGTATTGTCTGCAATTTAAATTCTTTAGTTGCAGGTATTCATGTAAGTTATATTGCTCTAATTAAGGTTGTATCATTGTTCTATGCAAATATAAAACCTAATTGCACAATTTGTTGTATATAAAATTAATTGTGAGGCGAGAATAAGATACAAAAGGTTAGTAGTTTACTACTAAGGAAAGATGAATTGATTGATTCTAGAAAGTTGAAAAGCACAACTTGTTTTTTTTTACATATCATTGAAATTTAAATATTTTCATTCAAAATTAATCTTTGAATTTTCCAATAACAACTTGAAAATTGAAGACTTTGTTATTGAAAAACTTTCATTTGAATTATTGTAAATAAAATACTGTCATGATATGTTAACAGAAAAGAACATTTACCACAAAATTATTTTAAAAAAAGTGTGTTACGATTGTAAAATAATTTATATAATTCACTATTGTATTGCAATTGCAAATATAAAAAACTAAAATTCTTTGCTCGAGAAATTTATGTTGTGATTTTAATACTATCATAGTGTGTAAACTTTTTAACTGTCTCTCTCTCAAGAGATAATAGTGGATAATAATACCCAAAATCATGTAACAAAATTCCAAAAATAATTATTTGTACAAATAGACACTTAATTCTTTAGTAGACTTTCAAACCTTTTTGTTTGGCCAAGATCAATGGTAATAATATTAATAATAAACCAAAATCATCTTCCATTGACCAAACGCAAATTTGAGGTTTTAATAATTTCAGGATTGTGTCATGTTTGCTTAACAAGATAAAAATGTAGTATAATTAAATTAAACTAACTTCCCTAATTACAAATAAACACAAAAATTTGTACAAATAAATATGACAAACAAACCCCGTTTCATGATGAATATATATGTATTTGGACGGTCTCCAACAACAACATCCAACATACTTAACATCCAACTTCTTTTATAAGAATTTTGTTTGGTCTTGAATGTCTCTAGTGGAAGTGTGGAGGTCTCTGTCAAAAATGCCAATTTATATAATACATATATCCAATCCGTCCAATCCAATCCCTATACAAATGAAACTCGGTGCGCCAGCTCTTGGTTCGCTTCGAAAACGCTGGTCCGCTTTGGTTCATAGGTGCGGACTCGGATTGAAACGAAGTGACGGCGACGTCGGCCGATCGCATTGGTCGTGCTCCGTGCTGTGCTGTCCACGCGTTAACCGCGATGGATTTTGAACGCATGTTTTGGTTCAGGAAGTTCAGTTGGATCGAGTGAGGCACAAAGCGTGCACCGCGTAGTGAGCGCTGTTAGAATTTTTTTGTTTGGGCTCCCCGAGGAACCGCGAGTCCGACGAACTCTGGGATAATCGTGTTTTTAGTGTGGCAGTGAGTGCGTGAGTGGCGACGATCGGCCACTTGGAAAAGGTGTCGACGTGCACCGTCGAAATCAGTGGCGTGCACTAATATTCCTCGTTCTTGTGGTGGTTTTTGAACATTTAAGATATTCTTCAGCGATGGCGTTGAACCAGGATTTGGAGCAGCAGAAGCCTCATCACATCGTAACGATGGATCAGAACTCTGACTCGGACCTACAAGCTCTGTTCGACAGCGTCCTCAAACCGGACTCGACTAAGAAACCGTTGCAAGTCCCGTTCAGGATGCGAAATCTGCCAAATTCATTTTTCAATCCGCCTTCGACAGGTTCGAAGTCGCCTTCTATATCACATTCGCGCGAGAACTCTGCCGACTCTGCGTTCGGATCCGCTGCAGGCGGCGGTAGTGCCGGCGCAGGCGGCCAAGTCACAGTTCCTGGTCTACAGGTGTCCCATTCGAGGGCGCACAGTTCGCCTGCTTCGTTGCAGCAGACTTACAATGGCAGTGTCCTCGGGCCACAGACACAAGCGCAACAACAACACCATCATATGAAGCAGAGATCCTACGATGTGGTGAGCGCTGCTCAGCTTCAGGAAGAACTCGGACCGCTGCCTCCGGGCTGGGAGCAAGCTCGCACGCTCGAAGGACAAATCTACTATCTCAAGTAAGTCTTGTTTCTTACTTTCGAAATTCGCAACTGTCAAACTGTTACATTTTTTGTGACAACAGACTCGTTCCCATGACAACCATATGTATACTTCGCAAATTGCTTGTCCAGTTAATAACTATCGGTCAATTCTCATTCAAAATTAATTTACCAGTTAAGTGATTCGAAATCTAACGTCGGATTGTGAACAATTTTTTTAACAACCTTGTCTAAATTTTTTATATCTTACGTTAATATTTTTATAAGAGCATTCTGCTTATAATTACGAAGTTTAAGGAGTTTCTAAATCAATGTTTTCCGATAGTTGACTGTTGTATTTACTGTTACTGCTAGTGTTGACATACCTGTTGTATTCAACGGCATGTGTTACAGTACCTCTATAAGCAAAAAGCAATGCTTTTCATATATTATATGTAACTGTGTATAAGCGATTTAGAAAGTACGATATGTTTTAATGAGCTTATAAATAAACTATTATGGACCGATGTAAAGACAAAAAACATACATGCAATATATACTACAGTTGCTAATGATATGTGGCTTTGTGTTATCAAAAACATAAACTTTGTGTTAACATTTGAACAACTTATTTATGCAATTTGTAATAATTTATATTTCGAACTTTTAATGTTGAAAATCTGAACATTGTCTCAATGATAATCACATACATAATTGACATAAACAATGTCAATGTTTAATATTATTTGGAACAGTTTTAACTGTTTTTCTTCGTCTTTATCAATAACAAATTGAATGATTGATATTGCAATTGTTTTAATATCTTCCACCTTTCCTACCAAATATTTCAAGATTTGAATATTATGCAGAACGTAGGAATAACATCAATAGGAAACAGTTGATACATTTCTCAGTGTAATCTATTTTAACTCCAGATTTACAACAAAATTTGCATCTTAATATTTCGAAGATTTTCTTTCTTATTCATCCACAATAGTGATCACTAACTAAAAAATCAGTGCGTGTTTTGATCGTTGTATTATATCGAGTCGAATTGATGTTTATAGAACGGCAGAGTTCCGATCGTGCATATTGCGCACTTGTTGATAATCTCTCGCCTGTTCTCGCTGTGTGAGTTACTTTGTTGCGTGCGCCGTTCGCACCTGTGTGTACCTGGATTCGAAAACCTATCTCGCTTAGGTAATGGTACACGAATGAAGGACGTTTATGGGGGTAGTAGAGTTTTATTGATAACTTTTTTACACACACACATATGTATATATATATATATATATATATATATATATACTAGCTGACCCGGCAAACGTTGTTTTGCTAAGTAAGGTATATTCTAAACAATTTCTAGAGAATCAAAAAATTTAATACTTTAAGTGTATAAGGATCTGTTGTTTGAATGCTATAAACACCATTAGTTTGTCTATATTTTGTCAATACCATCAAACTGGAAGTTTTATACACAGTTTTATAGGAAACATAGTATATTCTAATTTAATCCAAGTCTTTTTTGGTCTTTCGACTTATTGATTACGTTTCAAGTTTTTCAGATTCTTTTTGGATTCTGGATTTTGTGTATAATTGTAAATAATACTACTGAGCTTATACAAATTTTTCAAATTTCCGCGAGTAGAGATAGAAAATGAATTGAGTATTTCTTCTTTGACCTGCTTTTTGAAAAGTTTCAAGTAACATTCGATGAATTAAAGTAAATTTAATAAGAAGTATTATGGATTTTCAAAGATCACTTTTTATCTCTCAATAGCAAAGTCATAAGAATCAAGGTTATAGCTGGTTATACATCTTTTTCCCTCTACTTTCAAATATTGTTGTTAAGCAATGCTTAACTTTACTGATTTTTGACACATCGTTGGTGAGCGGACCTTCATATATTACTATCTATTATTCGATAAATTCTGGGAAATTATAACTGGGAAAATGTTATTCGACAAAATGTCCCTTCGATCGATACCAAATTTAGGTTCTGAATTAAAATAACATAAATAAAAAATAATATAATCTAGAAAATGTTTTATAAATACCAATAAGTATATAATTATTGAGATCTTTTAAAGCACCGTGATTGTGAAAAATATGCCAAAAAGTGCATTTTCATATTAACATATCAAAAAAGTTTATATTTTGAGTCTCTAGTAACACTTGCGGCCCGTTTACTAACGTTTTTGTATATAAATAAAAGTACAAACAAAACTACTTACTACAAATTTATCATAAATAAATAATATTCGCGTAAAACATCCTATTAAACGTAATTGAACATCATCTGTCAAAAGCGTTTGACATTTCACGAAATTGCCACCGTCCATTGTTTTATTTAAATTACGCTTCTACAAAAATTTTCAAATTAAAAATGTAAAGTTTCTACGCGGATTTGAAATAATTTTTCACCTTTTGGCCTTTATCTGGATTGGCACGAATTTTTCAAGACTAAGACTGGCCAAATCGATCCAGCCGTTTTCGAGTTTTATTCGAGAGAGCTCCATTTTTATATATAAGACATATATATTATCATGAAACATTAGCAAATTTTTTGATAGTACTTAGAATGTCTAAATCGAATGCCGAATCCATTGATTGGGCGTTCGGGTAAATAAATGCTTCGATTAATAGCAAATAGCATAATAAGTATATATGCATATATAGATATTTCTCATGTTATGACACGTCCACTGTTCGAAAAAGCTTTAAAAATTATTTTAACTAATGGTCATGGCATCGTGCAAGACAAATTGCTGGAACTTACCGCACTGAAAATTAATTTTTTTTAAAAAAAAGCTTTAAAATTTTTTGAAAATTGATAGAATTTTGAAAAAATTGACTTTTAAAAATTTGATTTTTTTTATACCTTGAGATTTTTTGAAAATTTTGAACTTTTTTTAAAGCAATCATGTTGCGTGGATGTTTTACATAAGCGCGTAAGCGCCGCGTCGCTAACCGATAAACATTTGTACGGAACCCATAGAAACGTGAACAAAATTTATACTTATGATTTAAATCTCTATCCAAATATCTGATAATTTATCTAATGTCTAATGATAATTTTCGACCGCTAAATGTCATTTTTATTAACTCGATCTCCGAATCCACTAGACCTGCCTTTCCAAATATCTAATCAGTTCTTCATTTTATCAATACAAGTAAAAGGTTTTTTGAATTATGTATTGAAATCGAACGCTCCATTCTCTCGAATACTGAATTACCATTTTTGTCACTTTTCGCCTTGTATCTTCCAAACTGGACCTGCCTTGTCCAAAAACTAATCAGCACGTCTCCTTATCCATTGGAATGGAATGTTGTTTGATCCATTCAAATCGGTTGAACCGTGTTCACGAAATCGTCGAAGAAAATTTGTATCCGCACACACATACATCCATTTTTTTAAGGTATGCCAAAATGTTCAAAGACCTTCGAATGTAAAGATTTGCAGAAATTTTCATTTTCAATTTTTACTATGCGATTACTACAGCTTACCCTACGGGAAGTTAAAAATTGATCTTTTGACAATAGCCAATATATATTATTTCTTCATCACGCTAAATAAATAAATAAATTCATTTTCATCCAGCATCGAGAAGCGTTGTAGAAATTGTCATTATAAAACTTGATAAGTTATTAGTAGAATTCTTAAACTAATAAATTGAGGTAAATTATTTTTTGTTAAACGATCGACAAAAGTTGAAGAAAAGTTGTCATTCGAGTTTTATTTTTCAAAATATCTAACCAACAACAAAAACATCAATTATTATTTTTTTATAATTTTATATATTAATGTCAATATTACTTATTAACAAAAAATACTAAAAGTTGTTTTTTACGATTTTATTTCATTTTTGTGAAAATTTACAAATGTTATAAGATTTTCTATAGTGCTCTAACGATGTAAACGATGTGTTTCTTTCTCACAATTTTTCTTTTCAAATTTCAAATTTATTGCGACATGCATTAAACAGTGTTTTTCTACAAATCACGATATCGGCACCAATAATGTTTTACGCAGCACGAAGTGTGGGAAAGAAATTACGCAATGTTATTTTCTTCGTCTCGCTCTTCGTGTATACCTGTACCTTGAATATTATTGTTTAATAGCAATTCGACTCCTTATCCAGTAAGGATCATTTCTATGAATGGACTTATTGTATTCTGTTCTCTACAAATCGAAATGTCAGGGCATGATAGAATAATAAAATAAAACAAATCAATTTCAACTATTTTACGAACCCAACAAACACATGCTTACTAAGGAAATGGTCTCTTGATAACACCTAATACAATCATTATTAAATATAAATAATTAACATATTGTAAGATTGATCAATGGTTCTTATCTTATCGTTAGTTTAATTAAATTATTATTTAGAATTTACAAATAAGAATTTTTTGATTGCTAGCGCTATTAATATTGCTAATAGTGTTTTTATTTATTTATCTTTGTTGACAATAAGTAGAACATTTTTGTTTTTATTTTTTTTGTGGACAACATACATTCTCATTATTATGTTTCAATCTCTAACAATAAATCAAATCTGCAAGATTATCTACTAAATTTTAACACTTTGGGGACGGCTGTTGGGGACAAACAAACTCTGTGAGGCCCAGGCTATTTTATAAACAATGACTCAGTTTGCATCGAAAAGTTGAATAAATTACATATAGCAGTGATAAACAGTATTTTAAATTATTTTAGTAGTATTTTTAGCCTTTTTCTTTGCCATATGGTCTTTTTTTAATATTTAAAACGACCAAACGCTTTTAAATATGGCAAAAAGACTTGTAAATGTTGTGAATTAAGCAGTAGTGAAAATGAGTTTCAAATAGACATTCATACAGACAAATTTTACGAAATTACTATTCGCACCGATGATAGTGATGAATGTGATTGATGATATTATCCAACCAACAAAAAGAAGAAGTTCGACAAAATAAATGAAGAGCGGGAAGACATCAGCGAATGTGCCGATTCTCCTTCAATAATCGAGTTTAATAATAATAATACCAAGCAATATAAGA